CGAACTGCACAAGAAGCTCCTCAGGACGTGATTGGGAGAAGGCTAATGATGAAAAACGCTTTCAATGTGATGTATGTGAGAAGGAATTCTGCTGGGAAAGTGAACTAGCGAAACATGCAAGAATTTACACTGGAGAAAGGCCATACCGCTGTAATGTGTGCGAGAAGAATTTCCCTCAGTTATCTTATTTGAAGATTCAAGAAAAGATTCCCACTGGAGAGAAGCCATACCATTGTGATGTGTGCAAAAAGAATTTCTCTCAGTTATCTTATTTGAAGATTCACGAAAAGATTCACACTAGAGAGAAGCCATACCATTGTGATGTGTGCAAAAAGAATTTTCCTCAGTTATCTTATATGAAGATTCACGAAAGGATTCACAGTGAAGAAAAGCCATACCACTGCAATGTATGCAAGAAGAATTTCTATCAGTTAAGTAATTTGAAGTCTCATGAAAAGATTCACACTGGAGAAAAGCCATTTCAGTGCAATGTGTGCAAGAAGAATTTCTCACAGTCACATAATTTGAAGGTTCATGAAAGGATTCACACTCGAGAAAAGTCATACCAGTGCAATGTGTGCAAGAAGAATTTCTCACATTCACATAATTTGAAGGATCATAAGTGGATTCACATTGGAGAAAAGCCATTCCACTGCAATGTGTGCAAAAAGAATTTCTCACATTCACCATATTTGAAGGCTCATGAAAAGATTCACACTAGAGGAAAGCCATTCCACTGCAGTGTGTGCAAGAAGAATTTCTCTCAGTCATCTTATTTGAAGCAACATGAGTGGATTCACACCGGAGAAAAGCACTTTCAGTGTAGTTTTTGTTCAAAGAAATTTTTTTCATTGAAGAGTTTGAGAAGGCACAAAAAAATTAAAATGTGTAAGGAAGTGAATTACCCAGCCACTTTATCGAGTAATCTGACGGATTCTGATAAAATGATATGGGCAATAATAGAATTAGCTGGACTGTAATTATGCACACGCAGTTCCACACTGCATTTCATTTTCTCTTTATTGATTACACTGTTATTTATCATAAATAACCAGTGGCCACGTGGAAATCGTGTGCTAACATGCATATTTATTATTATTTACTTATGTCTCGTGTAGTTTCAGTATAAATATGTCAGAACTTGAATTGCTATGCATTCACTTTATCAGTGATATTCATGCCAGAAAGTAATCCAATAGCAACAATACTCAAATTTTAAATGGCAGTGCAATTAAGTGATGCAATTAAATTGTGTTGCGTCCTTCTTAATCTTCAAATGTATCCAGTGTTCTTCGAGGGCAGATATGGGTGCACTTTCTGTAAGTATTTTATGAAGTTGCAGAAGCACAAGCCCACTCTTTTGTTCTACGGAGTGAAGCCTTTGTCCGAGCTCGTCCTTCACAGGTACAATCTCTCTAAACATGAGATTGACTGTGAATTCAGTACCTGTTCAGTAACTCATTGATGCCATGGTCAGCTGTTTGAAAATTCACTGGGTGCAGTTTGATCACCCCAGTACAATAGTTTATTAAACCTGTGGCTGCACATTTACTGCCTTAGTAAAGTTTTTGCCGTTTTGTGTAATTTTGGCTAATCGCTCAATTCTCACTAAAATCTCTGTTCGGAATCTATCGTAACTTTCAGTGGTAGATGCATTGTGAAATCTATGACCGAAGAAGTGCAGAGATTTCTTGGTGTGGGTAAAATTTGAGGTCTGCAATATGTAGAATCATTATATTACATATTAACAAAAGCTTTAATCTAGTGTCCACTTTCTTTGACATTCAGTTTTAGGTCAAACGAAGTGGACTTATTAGATGGAAAATTAATACATTATAAAAAGTATTTCTTCATATCAGTACATCTTTTTATATTGTAGCAAAGGTTGAACGAATACAAACTGCTTTTCTCAATTCTAATTAACTTTGTTCCAATCACATATCTTTTTTGCTTTATTGATTCCGACGCTGGGTACTCTTGGTGTACGTCTCCCGTAATCAAGTTTGTAGTGCTGATTTCCGTTGCTTCATTCTTGTAGAATTCATAGTGGTCATCGAAGGAGATGCTTTTGAGCGTCTTCTTAAGCATCGACTGAGCCTCGACGTGATAAGATATACTGGTCTTCTTCATACAGCTTTTATAGAAGTTTGTTACGATCCCATCCCAGATCATCCCATACGAAATTATTTTCGTATTATTTTCGTCCTGCATATCATCGCTGACCCGATTTTATCAACTAATAGATCATATTTTCGCTTTTTCTCGGCCTTCACTACTGTCCACTGTCCTGACCAGTGACCCTAATCTCTAAATGCATCTTGTACTTGTACAGTTTTGCACGACGAGTTTTCTAGTCTATTTCGATGTACAAAAAGTGCTTTTAAGGCTGCCAGTACATTTTCAACGATTGGCTTTTCTTCGAGGTTTACTTAGTTAAGTTTTGCATAAATTTGTCTTTTAATAAAATTTAAATGAATATTATTAGTATACAAATGAGCTTTAATGTATTATTTGATCAAAATGCTTGTAATAAAAGGTGATAATAATAACTGCAATAAAATATTTAAATTAATTGATGTGAAAGGCTTGTAAAACTATGCTTAATAATCGAATTGCTCTGAATATTATTTGCTAGGGTATAAAAGGATACTAAATTTCTGCATAAATTTATTTTTCAACAAATTTTGATTAAATATTATTAGTATGAAGAAAAAACTATTCTGTCAAACTGTTTTCATGCTGGCTAAAAAATGATGATATCTGCTCATAATCATGATAATTAGTGTGAATGTTATCTGCTTATTATGATAATAAATTACAACAAAATAATAAAAATAATTGATGTAATAATGATTTTAGAAGTTTTTACACTAACAACAAACTGATTATAAAGCATTGTATTAGTATTTTATGAAGACAAATTAACGATTCAAAAAAATTACACTCCAAAAAATTGTAAACAAAATTATAAAAGCTATTATTTGATTTTGTAACGAATCTCATCATCGAATATTTTTGTAAATAAATTTGACTAAATTTAATTCTATATACGATAGTGGTGCGCATGTTTCTAGATGAACCAGATAGTTT